ATACTCCTGTTACTCCTCAGCTTCGAAGCCAGCCTGTTTATATTCAGTATTCTAATCACAGAGAACTTAAGACTGACAATCTACCTAATCAAGCTGTAAGTATTAAAGGTATTTTTAAAGATAGGCATAATAATGCATGATATAACTTTAAATTAATTTTTTATACTTTACAGGTGAAGAAAAATTATGTGCTTTTCTTCATTTTAGGGTCCTTTACTAGTCAGGATTGTGTATGTGGATTCTTCTCCCAAGGCATAGAAATGATAAAGCAGTACCAATTAGAAGCATATTTGAAGTTAATTTTTTCCTTTGAAATTTTCAATATAAAAAAGAAAAATTTATCTCTTAAGGTCTCAGATCTAAAAGGAACTTGTAGAAGGCATTTATTTCAGTCTGTTTTTGTAGAATGTATAACAAAAGCATTAAGAAGTTGAACAGATGGTTAGATTTGTGATGTTAAGTAACCAAACTTAAGATATTAATAAGAATTTGGTCAGAATTGTTCATTAAATGATTTTTGACTCCTTAAGATGAATGTGGAATGTAGCATTATCAACATTGCTTACCTCAGTTTTCTGTTTTTATTTCAGCATAGTGCATTTTGAGTCTTTTGTGTCTCTCCAGGTTCATTTTTCAGTAGTTAAAAACAGTAATTTGAAGTTAGTTAAGGATAGAGAAACGTTATTTGCAGAACAAGTACATTTTTTAAGAAATTGGGTTTGTATTATGTTAAAGGCATATTTGACCTCTGTCTTATTGCTGGGGGAATCTGTGACCTCAAGGCCACATGTTACCCTCCACATCCCCAGGTGTGGGCTGTTCGACTGAATCTAGACTTCGTAGAAGAAATTCCTTTATTAAAAAGATTTGTTTTGTAAAACTGGGTTTTAGTCCAAAGGTTACACTCAAGGATCCAGAAGGCCACATGTGGCCCCAAGGCTTTAGGACCCCCCCAACTCTGATTCTTTGTTGAAAGGCATTATTGTGCAAGCTACTTAGATTATAGTTTTTCCACATTATTTAAAACAGCGACATTTCCTTCACATAATCTTTTTCTTTATTTCTTTTTTTTTTTTTTTTTTTTTTT